TCGCCTAGATAACTACACTCGTACTTGTGAGGTCAAAACTCGCCTAGTTAACTACACTCGTACTTGTGAGGTCAAAACTCGCCTAGATAACTACACTCGTACTTGTGAGGTCCAAACTCGCCTAGATAACTACACTCGTACTTGTGAGGTCAAAACTCGCCTAGATAACTACACTCGTACTTGTGAGGTCAAAACTCGCCTAGTTAACTACACTCGTACTTGTGAGGTCAAAACTCGCCTAGATAACTACACTCGTACTTATGAGGTTGTGGGTCCCCGTTGTCGAAACTCAGCTTTAAATAATAAATGATAACAAAATATAAATTATGCATTCGACGAATTTCGGTTTTCGACTTAAATTGATCCACACAAAATTGACAGTACATAATTTATTTAGCAGGGTGCGTCAAGGAAGGAAGCATGTTGTTGTTTGTTCTGACCTTGCAGGAGTTTGAGACAACAAACGAACGGTTGTGGGTGGTTGGCGGGTGCTCAGGTATGGTTTCCTCCTTCTTTTCTTCCGCTCGCGTCCTTATCTTCCATCCCTCTTTTCTTTGTGTGTTACTTTCTATCTAATAATGCGTCAGTAATGCCTCTTGTTTAGCTTTAGCAAGACTTTTACGGCATCCGCATTTGCATACGGTCATATGAGCGTGATAGCAATACCTCTACTTTTTCGACTGTTCTTGACCTAATTGTGTTGAAAATGCCGTGAAACTGTTACTAAAACAAAACTGAACGAAGGGTTAGCCTTGTCAGAGCTGCTCAGACTGTGGGCGGGGTCTCTCGTTGCCTAGAGATTAAAGTGTTCGCCTCTCTCGTGGCCTAGAGTCTAGAGGTTAAGGTGTTCACCTCTCATTCAAAGGTCCCGGGTTCGAATCCGAGTAGCGACCAAAAATGTTTCTTCTCTAAAATTGTCTCCTTTCACCCCCTTCCATGTTCTCTAAAGATGTTCTGTCGACTGCTTTCGCTTCCTGTTTCTGCCCCCACCCCCTCAACTCCTTTGCCCCCTCTTCTGGGCCTCTGGCTCTTTCTGCAGCCTTTCTACTGCTACTCCTTGGTTCCTTCTTACTGCTGTCTTTCAGCAACACCCCTGATCTTCTGGTAGGAAAGATATACCCCTATCCTTCTCGGACAAGGGCGAAAAATCTCGGAGGTCCAATGTGTACGTTGCGCATGTTTAAGATTCCTTGGTGGTCACAGACCCCGACGACCGACACGATACGTCACAGACCCTTCTCATCCTGGGAATCATCAGCTCC